TCTAAACCCTCCCACTCTTGACAAGTAACCACTGATAATGATGTCAAGCTGACTCAAGCAACCTTTTCTGGATAAAGCATCAGCAGCTTTATTCTCACAGCCTTGCTTATATTTAATAACAAAAGTATATCCCATCAATTTAGAAATCCATTTCTGTTGGTCTTCTCTGAGCAACCTTTGTTCGGTAAGGAATTTTAAACTCTTTTGATCCGTGTGCACTTCGAAACTTCGTCCCAGAAGGTAAGGCCTCCATTTTTGAATGGCCCACACTATGGTGAATAGTTCTCTTTCGTAAACTGACTTGCTCTGATTTCGGGCAGATAACACCTTGCTCATGTACGCTATGGGTCTCCCTTGTTGCATCAAGACTGCCCCAACTCCGGTCCCTGAAGCATCCGTCTCGATAACAAATGTCTTCTCAAAATCCGGGGTAGCTAAAACTGGTAGTGATGTCATAGCTACTTTCAGTTTTTCAAACGCTGCTATCGCTTCAGGACTCCATTGAAATCCATCCTTCTTAAGCATATTCGTCAGAAGATTAACGATTTTGCTATATCCTTTAACAAATCGCCTATAATATCCTGTTAACCCCAGGAAACCCCCCAATCCTTTTAAGTTGTGAGGTAGAGGCCAATCAATCATGTCTTGGATCTTGCTAGGGTCTGCCTGCACCTCTTGTCCGGAAATGATATGGCCAAGGTACACCAGTTGAGTCTGCCCAAATCTGCATTTTTTTTATTACCCACCAACTGATTCGCCTCCAGAGTGTGAAGTAGTAGTCTGAGGTGCTCTTTATGTTCCTCTGAGCTTCTACTGTAAACCAAGATGTCATCAAAGAACACCAAAACAAATTTCCGGAGGTAGGGTTTTAAAACTTGATTCATTAGAGACTGAAAGGTGGAGGGAGCATTTGTTAATCCGAAGGGCATCACTAGATATTCATAATGCCCTTCGTGGGTTCTAAAAGCGGTTTTGTGAATGTCTGCTTCTTTCATGCGGATTTGATGGTAGCCTGACTTAAGATCCAACATGGAGAAATTTTTTGCATGTCCCAGCTCATCTATAAGCTCCTCGATGACCAGTATTGGGAATTTATCTGGGATGGTGATCTTGTTCAAGGCCCTATAATCTCCGCAGCACCTCCATCCTCCATCCTTCTTCTTTGCCAGAATTATGGGACTGACTAAGGATGGTTGCTTGGTCTGATTATCCCTACCTTCAGCATTTCATGCACCAGCTTCTCAATTTCATCTTTTTGGTACTGAGGGTAACGATAGGGTCTAATGTTGGGAATGGTATCGCCTTCTTTAATATTGATAGCGTGATCACAACTTCTATTAGGAGGTAAACCTTGAGGAGCCTGAAACACTAGGAAATTCTGAAATTATCTCTTCCCACTCCTTTCCAATTTCTGGTTTTTCAGTAGTCAACTCTTCACAATGGATAAAATAACCCTCTCCTTTGCCCTGCAACGTTTTCATCAAACCTTTCCAAGTGTGAAATTATATTCTAATATACTTTCACACCAAGAAACAGTGGATTTACTCAGAGATGAATCACCTTGTATGACCATCCACTTCCCACTGAATAGTTAATCGTTTGAAATCAGCCTCCACTTTTCCCAAACTAGCCAACCATTCCATGCCCAACACCAAATCCGTTCCTCCTAGGTCCAAGATATAATAATCTTGTTCAATCCATAGGCCTTGAATTCTAACTGGAAGCTTTTCACACTTCCCTTGGTTGTAAATGTTCATTCCATTCCCCATTTCTACTTGGAACTTAGAAGTCTGACAGACAGGAAGATTGAAAGTTGTGCAGACCGTTTGAAAAATAAAATTGTGGGTTGCACCCGAATCAATAAGTATGATTACGGTTTTACCCTTCTCATGGCCTTTTAAATGGCCTGTAACCTATGAAGCACGGATACTTCCCTAGGGTAGCGTATCGACGTATCGGATACGTTCCCGTATCCGATACTCTAGGATACTCGTACCGTACGTTCCCGGGCCGTATCTGTAATTTTTAAAAGTTTCCATTTTTTTTTGTAATTTTTTGAAAGTTTCCGATACTCGTATCCTGACGGATACCCGTATCATTGGAAGTTTTTTTGGAAGATATTATTTCTGGAAATTAATACTTCGAGTGAAAATATGTATTAGATGTTAGAGCTTTTAAAATATTGTTTTCTATCTTAATTATTTTAGAACTTTGGTACTTGCACTTTTAATTTCAAGATTGTAGTTGTTTGACTTATTTCTCATTTTAAATTAATGACTTATCGACTACATGTCTACATTTATATTTCGAGATGCACTAGTGTATATGAGAAATATTATGATGTATACGTAATGAATGGGTATATATGTATATATAGGATATATATATATATATATCCAAAAAAAATATTTTTTTGTATATTTCATAGGATATTATATGTATATATTTCCAAAAAAATCTATTTTTATATTTATAAATACACCCCTGTAACTTTTAATATTTGTAAATACACCCCCATAACTTTTAATATTTAAAAATATGGCCCCGTATCCGTATCCTACTTTTTTTGTTTTGCCGTATCCCCGTACCCGTGTCCGCGTTTCCGCGATTCCGCGTACCGGTATCGGTGCTACATAGCCTGTAACCTTAAAAGTGCCCTGAACTGAAATGCCTTCTTTGCTCAGAATCGTTAATTGTAGAGATTTTAATTCCTCAACAGGAACATCCTCTTCCTCACTCACTCCTGAGTCCTCCTCTTCCTCCATTCCTTCTGGTTTTTCCAGAAGCACCAACTGATAATTCTTCATACTACATTTGTGTTCTTTGTTCCACTTATCCCCACATTTAAAACAGAGACCCCATCTACTCCTGTCCTGTAGTTCTGCCTGAGATAGCCTTTGACCACTTTGCCCAGTCTTGGCTATTTTGACTGCCTCTTCACCTTTGAATTTAGTGTCAACTTTCGGATCTGATAGGTCTCGTGTGATCTGACTTTTGTTTTTGATTTCGTCATTCCAGAGTATATACCTGGAAATGGTTCCCCCACGTTCTTTCCATCCACGTTTATCTTCCTCCTTGAAACTTCTTACCCCGAAAGCTGCAATTTTCTTTTCCAGGAGAAGTGCCCGATCCATGAACTCTGTCAAACATTGAGTTGGATGCAATTTCAGTTCGGCTTTGATTTCATCCTTCAGGCCATTCATGAAAATACCCTTAAGCATCTCATTGTCAGTGTTCCTGTGGGGGGCTACTACCCGTTCGAATTTCTCCCTATACTCCATAACTGACCTGGTCTGCTTCACACTAAGCATCGGTCCATATGGGTTTTGAACCATCTCTGGTTGCAACCGTCGAATAACAGCGTCCTGGAAATTTTCCCAAGTACGAGCTGTAGTCCGTTCCTCCCACCATTGGAACCAATTTAAAGCCTTGTCCTCCATAGCTACCACCACCATTTCTATTTCCTCATTGTCTTTAACTTGATTCAACCGGAAAAATCTCTCTTCATTAATTATCCACCCATGTGCATCCTCCCCATTAAAAACAGGAAAATCAACCTTCCTGCCCGTGCGAGCATAGCATCAATTGACAGAAGTTTCCGGAATATGGGATGAAGCGTGAGAGCTGTTAGACTTACTTGGGGTATGCGACGAGTTCACGCTTTCGTCCCGGCTATGATGCTTAGACACCTGCGACCGTCCTCTTCTCCTATGGCGGTCACCCTGTAACATTATATTCTTCAATTCGGCCACGGTCTCACGCAAGCCAAGCAGTTCATTCACGGCAGTTCTCACTTCCGCTAGGGTGTTTTCCAGATTTTCCACACGTTGCTCCATTCTCGATCGGGTCAAGACCATGCGCAGATAAGGCTATCGTCAATTGCTCTGATACCAAATGATAAGGTCTCTCACCAACAAACTGTCACAACACACTCCAACTTAATATTATTGTCTTTATTGAGAAAACTCAAAAACAGAGTCTGGGAACAAAAACTATAAAGGAACAAAATAGCAGAAAGTAAAATTGAGATCTTTCGAGAGGATCTCGCTCTCCCAGTGCCTTTCCCCTTCCGCTTCCGTTTGCTTTTATTCGTTTCTTCACCCTCTGCGGACTATTCCCCTTCCTCTAGTCCGTTATTTTCTGCCTCCGCTTCCTTTCTCTGATTATTTACCTTCTTGCCCCTCCTTTTATAAACTTTTGAAAAATCCCTATTGGGATTTATGTTAAATAGGGTAGTGCTCGTATCAGTGTAGCCCAAGAACCTACCTATGGTGTTTACAAGCCCATACAATCAATCCAACACAGCTACTAACTACATGCTGAAAGAGTGGGTTGAAGTTGGTTGATAGTTCGCATCACAACTTGACTGGCTTTGACCAGAGACTGGTCTCCATGTTACTGCCTTGAATCGTTTACTTGACCACTGACCTATGATCGTCCAGTTGAGCCAAGGTGTGGTTGGCCTAGTTGACCAGTTGGTGTTCATAGTGTAGTTTAAGCACACTCAAGCTCACTCTGAGACCGTGATATAAAGCCCAATTATGGTAGGCCAAAAAGGCGACAGACTCAAGGCACATTTTTCACTTTTGTTCTTTTTGCAGTCAGGAGAAGAACAGAAACATCAATTTCTTTTCTCCCAAATCATGAGTGATATGTGAATCTTCCGAACCTCAAATCTAATCAATTAAGACAGTGAACGTGAACAGGTCGTGGTTTGTCACTGCTTCCCCATCACCTACCAAAATGTTCCCATAAAATGGCTTTAATCACAATCAAACCTCCTAAATAAAAATGAAAAGTAAGGAGGTCAGTAAAGTGCTATGTTTTTCTGTGTTGGATGTAGTCATGCATTCCATGCATGAAAGAGTTTAATAATCATAAATGAATGTTCCTTTTCCTGGTTGAGATTTCATGTATGTTCTGAGTTTCACCTATCAATAATTATTTTGAAGGAAATGTTATTGACTTGACGGGGTTTAAGTTTTCTGTATCTGCTGCAGAGTGCTGCTCGCTTGTTTGGATCATCTATTTCATCCAGGGACCTGATTAATGTCTCTGGGGTAAGCTGAAATGCTGAATAAACCAGACTTTCAATTTCAACTTTATTTTCCATGAGTTGCAACTTGCAACTAGTTTGCCACTGTCTTTGGCTCTTGACATGAGTTTAACTCAATAAATGAGTAGGATATAATTTCCCTCGGACTCTCGTATCTGTTTGTTTTGAATCATTCTTTTAGTTTAACATGCTGTGGAATAATCAGGTTATCCCAAAGGAAGTTGTTCATGCATTATTTTCAGCTTGTAAGAGTGGAAACTTTGACTTAGCTGACAAAGAAGTGAATAGTGTAATAGCCGAAGGGTATCCAGTTTCTCAGATTCTCTCTCAGGTTAGGATCCCAATATCTCTGCCATGTTTGTACTTCATTATATTACGCAGTCTGCATGATATTTTTAGCCTAGCGCAATGTGTGTTGCAGATATATGATTTCATTGTTGAAGTAGATGACATATCAGATGAACAGAAAGCAAGAATATGCAAGAAATTGGCAGAAGCAGACAAGGTAATTTTCATTAGTTATACTGTTCACATTGGTATTAAATCATTATCATAAAGCCTTTCAATGCATCTTTGGCACGCTTCTGTTAAAGTGAAATGAGTTTTGAAGCTCGGATTCTAGTATACACTTTTTTGGCGTATACACCTTTTTGTACACCACCATGGGTCATCCAGAAACACTCTGCGCTTTAGTACTGATAGAGCAGGGAGAGCAGTGGGGCTGTGTGCAAGAGGAGGGTCCGAGACCCAAGGGGCTGTCGGTTTACTGCAGGCGGGAACGGGCTTGAGCCCACCTTCGTGGGCTGGTTGCGGGCTGCTTAATTAATATTTATTATTTTTAATTTTCCTGATTTGTTTCCTATTTGGAGTAAATTAGGATTTCTATTATTTGTTTCCTATCAGGAGTGAATTAGGATTTCTATTATTTGTTTCCTATTTGAAGTTGATTAGGATCTCTATTATTTTGTTTCCTAGTTGGAGTTGATTAGGATTTCTAGGATTTTGTTTCCTAGTTTGAGAATGAGTAGATGGGTATTTAAACCCCTTGTTAGGATTCATTCAGGCTCATCTTGGAATAAAATTGGTTTTAGCCTTTTTGCTCTGGGCAACGGTATTTTTTATCATTGATTATCTGGGCAACGGTTTACCCCGTTGATTTTTCTTTTTTTCTGTTTCATAACAATTGGTCCGACCTGTCGGACTCCTTTCCCGCCGGAATGAAGAAATCGAACATGGAGCTTTTGACAGTGGTGGAGGCCAAACTAGCCTTGTTAAACCAGAAAGTGGATGCTCGAGGAGTTCAACTGACAGAGATCACAACCTCCTTGGCTGCGCTCACTGCGCTCATGAAGACTTTTATGCCGCCAACGGGAGAAGGGCACTCATCGACAGCCGCGTCACTGGATTCTGCGTCAGCATCTGCATGCGAACTTGAGGAAATTGCTGAGCCAGAGAAAGATGCAGCAGTAGGAAGTTGTGGGTCGAGGAGGCTTGCTTCTTGCTTTCTTGATTCCATGGCAACCCTAGATTCGCCAGCATGGGGTTATGGATTGAGGTACAAGTATGAACTACACAAGCAACACATTACAGAAGCTGGACAAGAGGAAGTTACTGAAGGTTGGCTTGAGAAATTCAGTCCCTGGGAAGTTGCAACGTATGACATTGTGTTTCCAGTCAGACTTTTTTCTTTTTTTTGATGATCATGTTGACCCCAATGGCTCCCGGAAAGGGATTGGTGGGGAGGTCATACAGACGGTTGCATATGATGTTCCAATTCCTGGCTATAAAACAAAGAACACAAATAGTCTTAGACTTTAGTAGGCCAAAGCCAGTGCAGAGGACATAAACTTATTTCAAGTTAACGGTGGTCAATATGAATCTGCTACACAGTTTCACTCTAGTGCTCACCATATTTGTGTTGTCTTTGATCCCGACGATGCAACAGAAAGTGGAAAACTTTTAAGACTTAAACAACAATTTTTGCTAAGTGGTGCGTCACTTCAGGATACCATATACAGATTTAAGAAGAAGAATGATGGGAAGGGTAGACTTGATTGGTCTTCATTCCCCTCAAAAGTTGTCCTGTTAGAGGCCGGTGGGAATAGCAATATGAATTTTGCACTGAATGGGTGCCTAATCATAGGAACATTGGACGGGGCTAATATAGAAATCAGAGAGGAAACTGGGGAAGATATTTTTTTCCTTTTTGGTGTAAGAGTTGATGAAGTGCTTCTTCTGCGCAAAGAAAGAGAGAACAGTCAATTTAAATCAGATCCTAGGATTAAAAAGAGCTTTGTGAGGCAGTTTTTAGATTCCAACCTTGAGGACAAGGTTATTTTGAAGAAGGATGGATTGATAGAGAGCAGGGAGAGCAGTGGAGCTGTGTGCAAGAGGAGGGTTCGAGACCCAAGGGGCTGTCGGTTTACTGCAGGCGGGAACGGGCTTGAGCCCACCTTCGTGGGCTGGTTGCGGGCTGCTTAATTAATATTTCTTATTTTTAATTTTCCTGATTTGTTTCCTATTTGGAGTTAATTAGGATTTCTATTATTTGTTTCCTATTAGGAGTTAATTAGGATTTCTATTATTTGTTTCCTATTTGAAGTTGATTAGGATCACTATTATTTTGTTTCCTAGTTGGAGTTGATTAGGATTTCTAGGATTTTGTTTCCTAGTTTGAGAATTAGTAGATGGGTATTTAAACCCCATGTTAGGATTCATTCGGGCTCATCTTGGAATAAAATTGGTTTTAACCTTTTGGCTCTGGGCAACGGTATTTTTTATCGTTGATTATCTGGGAAACGATTTACCCCGTTGCTTTTTATTTTTTTCTGTTTCATAACAAGTACATGTGTAAGGCTGCGTACATCCGACCCCCTTACCCTACCATAGGTGGGAGCATTTGCGGCACTGGGGTCATGATGATGACGACGATGACACCTTTTCGTACACCTCTTTTTACACTTCAATGCATTTTTGATATACACCTTTTTGTACACCTTTCGTGTACCTTGTCTGTGTACACAAGCAACTTATAAAAGTTTTGCATTTTTTTAGTCGACAAAATTGTTGTCTACAAGAGGTGTACAAATAAGGGTGTATAGCAGAAATTTCTGTCTAAGATATTGCATGCAAATGCTTAATTCGATCATCAATAAAATGTGATAGTTAAAGTTTCGGGTTACGCTGTTTTTTTATTTATTTGAATGTCATGACTTCACTTTTTTAGTATAAATATAAATTTAAATATAAATGAGGTTGCATCTTTTAATATAATTGAGCGCATAGCCAATTTTCTCTTGCCAGTTGCTACATGTTGGAAAATTGGTTGAATAGTAAAGAGTGTCTAAGATGGATCATTTTTGGTATACACCTTTTTGTACACCTTTCGTACACCTTGTTTGTGTACACAGACAACTTCATTTTTTTAAGATGACAAAATACTACAAAAGGTGTACATAAAGGGTTTACAAGAGAAATTTCTGTCTAAGATATTGCATGCAAATGCTTAGTTCTGTTTCATCCCTATGTCAATGTGCCAGACCTTCAAACCTACTTGTATATCTGTAAATGATGTTAACTTATAGGATAAATACGTATTAAATGAGTCCCATGTATTTCGAGATCTGATGTAAATATTGTTAGCATATTATTAGCATAGATCCTGTTATTTAGGAGTTAGTTGGTTAGATACGTCTCTTCTTCATCATTACCCTAGTGGCGCAAAGGCTCCCACCTATGGTGGGGTAAGAGGGGGTCGGATGTACGCAACCTTATCCCTGTATTAAAGTACACTGAGACTGTTTCCGGATGACCCACAATGAAAATTGCATAGACTGATTGCTGCTTCATAACAAAGAAGCGCAAACAGTTTAGTGAGCCATTTTGCTTTAGTCCATCATATTCCCAAGCCAAAAAATAGCGAGTGTTTGGCTCCATTGCAAATGATGGAAATTAGTTGGTTAGATTTGTACTCTATTTAAATCAGATCATTGTGAATGAAATATAGATCTGTGAGATCATTTTTAACTCATATTTTTTCTCTCTCAACCGCTACCACCTCAGCCGGTGATCAGCCATGAGAACCCTAACATCTGGTAATATTAGCACCGATTCAACCGGTGAATCCATTCGTACTGGTGGTGCAAATCTATCTGCTCAATCTTATTCTTTCAAAGTATTTCGATCACCTCTCATAAATTAAATGGAGGTAATTACATGCAATGGTCACTTCATAACTTAAAGTCTTAAGCTTTCAAACTGAAAATTAAGACATAATTAAATTTTAGGTATCTAGAGTAATAGAGTATAAACTACTATCCTCCGTATCACATTAATTGCAACATTGGAATATATACACTATTCATGTACTTTACTTTGACTACATTTTATTTATTAATGTATGTGAATTATTTTTTTGAAAAATATTGTTAAATTCGTCTCATTACTAAGTTTTATAATCTGATTTTTATTTTATTTTTACTAATAAAGAATTAAATATAATGACGGTCAAAGTTGTGCGTTGGCAAACGTGAAATGTTGACTGTTGCAACTAAAAAGAGACGGAGGAAGTATATAAGAAGGATGCTGAAAAAGTAAAGGAGAAAGAAAATGGCACAATGAAGAGTGTTGTTGCACATGATAGACCATTATATCGGTAGTTTACATGTATATGTTTAACTTCTATAGAGTATGTAAGAAGTAGATACTGAAAAAAGAAAAAAGAAAGAAAATGGAACAATGGAGAAGAAAGCTTAGTGCTGCCCATTTCTGCAATTGATGTGGAGGACAGGAGGAGGAGCGAACAGGTAACTTGAGGAGCGAACTAATAACCATTAGGAAAGGAGTTAGAACGTGTATCAAACACCCCATTGATGATGCAACTCCAAAAACGATACATGAAGCTCTAGGTATTTCAAAGTGGAGAGAGGGCATTAGAAAAGAATCAAACGTGAGAATTGACAAAACTTCCACAAGGCAAGCAACTTGTTGACAGCAAATGGATCTTCATCGTCAAATACAAATCTGAGTTGCCAAGCTCAACACTATAAGAGTTCTTCTTTCTTTATCTGCAAACTTGGATTGATCATTACTACAACTTGACGTGAATGCATTTCTTAACGAGGACTTGGAAGAGGAAGTTTTTATGCAAGTTCTACCTGGATTTGATCATGATAGTACTGCAGGAAAGGTGTGCAAGCTAAGGAAAGTGTTATATAGACTCAAACAATCTCCTACTAGAGCCTGGTTGGGGATATTGAAAAGACCGAAGAAAAGGGGTTACACTCACGCACAATCAGATCACACTTTATTCATCAAACATAGTGCAGAAGGTAAAGTTGCAATATAAATTGTATATGTTGATGACATTGTGTTGATGGGAAATGATGAGGAAGAGTTGTTTGCAATAAAGAAGTTCTTAGCTGAACAATTCAAGATAAAGGAATTGGAAAATCTCAACTACTTGCTAGGTATGGAAGCTGCCAGATCAGAAAGGGATTGTGATATGTCAAAGGTGTATGTACTTGACTTGCTCAAAGAAACATGTCTCCTCGGATGCAAACCTGTCCCAATTCCAATTGATCTAAATAAAAAACTTGGAAGAAGTGAAAATGAGGTTGGTGTGAATAAGACTAGATATCATAAACCAGTAGGTAAGCTTATCTAGCTCACACAAGACCTCACATAGCATTGCAATTAGTTTAGTCAGCCAGTTCATGCACAACTCAACTGAACATCTTAGAGCTGTCTATAGAATTACTCACTACCTTAAGGGTATGTTTGGTTCGAGTTCATATCTTATACAGGTCGGAATCTGATGCCCAAAATGTAAGATACATGTGTTTGGTTCGTGGGTTTGATTTTTTGTTTGGAATGTTAGATTCCCAAAAAGTGAAAAGGTAATCACATGGCCCTTCATGTGAAACCCACTTAGGCCTTAGGTTTTGAAACATTCCCGGTTGATCATTAATTTTATTCCAAAAACACCCCTGCTTCATTAATAAGAGGAAAATATTATACGAACGGCTCTCTTTTTCCACTGAACCCAACGCAGCTCTTTTCATCCGTTGAACACAGCTCGGAACTCCTTCAAAATCAGGTAAATTCTTTCTCTATTTTTCAAGTTTCTGTATGTGTTCTTTTACTCTCTCTTTAAATCTTCTTTTGATTTTTCTTTAACCGCTTTTAATCTGTTCTTTTTCTCAGTTTTTATCTTTAATTTGTTGATTATAGGGCTAAATTCTCTTTAAGCTTCTTCCAAACCTGTCTTGCTGTATTGTAAAAAGAAAAATTTAGATATCAGTTAAAAAATTTCCTTTTATAGGGTTGTCTTTTTTTAGTTATGGATTATGACATTGCCGTTGACAATTTTGTCTTCGATTATAGGGCTAAAGTGTCTGTTTTAAGACGTTTTATTAAGATGTTTTTATTTTTCTATAATTTTAATTACTTTAATTATAGGTTGTAATAAGTTTAATGTCTTAAGAGACAAATATTTAAAGGGCATTTAAGTAATTCACCAAATATGCAATATAAAATATCATTCAACCAAACAACTTAATATTACATTCCCTTAATCATAACGAGACACAAATGGTTTACAAATTAAAACATTCCCATCAATCTAACATACCCGGTAATCTACCATTCCCATGGTAATCTGACGTTCCTTGAGTCAAACGCTCCCTAAGGGTGACCCCTGGAAAAGGAATTCTATTCGGGAAAACTCAAAATAGACCCGTAGAGGTATTTACATATGCTGACTGTCGGGAATAATACTGATAGGCGATCTACATCGACTTATTGTACATTTGTATGGGGCAATCTTGGTACTTGGAGAAACAAGAAACAACATGTAGTATCAAGAAGCAACGCATAAGCCGAGTTTAGAGCAATGGCACAAGGGGTATGTGAAGTCATGGGTAAAACGAGTATTAAAAGAATTGAGAAATTCCATCAGAGATGTCTATGAGCATTGCACATAATCCAGTACAACACGGAAAGATGAAACATGTGGAAGTTGATCCCAATTTTATAAACAAACTTGAGAATGGAGAAACATGCATGCCTTATGTTCATCAAGAAAATTCCATCGAATTGTGAGAAGTTATGGAACTATACAGTTTGAATCGAAGAAAGTATGTAGTTTGAAATTGAATGAACCTATACAACAAGTCCATAATTCACTTATGGACAATTTGAATACTTCAGAAGTGTAATCCTTGCTGTAGTAGGTATCAATTCAACCTTTAGCAATCACCACACCAGGACGACAACATGGCACGATAAAACATGTGGAAGGTGATCGCAATTTTATCAAAGAAAAGCTCGAGAATGGAGAAATATGCATGCCTTATGTTCCGACAACTGAACAACGGACATGTGCTCACTAAAGGATTGTTTGAAGAAATGTTAGTCAAGTTGCACATGATTGATATCTTTGCTCTAGCTTGTAGGTGTGTGTTAACTTATAGGATAAATACGTATTGAATTAGTCCCAAGTATTTAGATATGTATTGTAAATACAGTTAACATATTATTAGCATAGATCTTATTCTCTCCGTTCCATTTTGGTTGTCCTATTCTTTCTGAGTTTTCTCAAAATGAATGACATGTTTCCTTTTTTGGCAAGAAGTATGTGGTTGTTATCATATCACTTTATTCTACTCAAATTTCAATCATAACTTTTAATTTTCGATCACATTATTAATAGTCATGCCAAATTAAAACAAGACAGCCATGGTGAGACAGAGTTAGTATTATTTAAGAATTAGTTGATTAGATATGTACTCTATTTAAATCAGATCTTTGTGAATGAAATATAGATATGTGAGATCATAACTCTTAAATGATGCTCCCTGCTCTTTATTTATTTGTTCCTTATTGCTTTTGGGAGAGTTTTTATTATTTGCTCATTTTCCTAACTTGGCTAGTTTTACCCTATTTCTGCTCTTTTACATAAATACCCTTCCTTTTGATTTTTTTTTTACTTTTTCCACTTTTACACCATATTTCTCCTACTATCTCAGTAATAAACCTATAAGAACAAATACTTGATTACAGAGCGAGTAATATTTGAAGGACATGTTCCAGATTAATGATCATAGTCTTTGACGTTCTTTTTTTCTTGTGAAACAGTAACCTAAACGCCTTTTCTACAGTTTCTTGTAGATGGAGCGGATGAATATTTGCAGCTGTTGGATGTTGCGAGCAACACTATGCAAACACTATGCAACATGCCGCAAGAAATGATCTACTAGAGAGCATACCATGATTAGGGTTTTGAGACTTGTTTCATAACAATCAGTAGATGTTTTGAGAATTGGAATTGAAGTATTAAGTTGGTCTATCAAGAGTGTTTTGGTATTCAGTAAAAATATATATTCCGTTGTTTCGTAACATGCGCCATCAGACATTTTGCCCACTAGAATATGAGCTTAATTACGCACTTATATCAGTGTCTCATTTTTTTGGATGAACCTGTAAATATATATATCATCCGAAAAATAACATGTACACATGCATCCAAAACTATAAGGCAAGTAGGCAACCTACCAAACAAGGTTGGTCACCAACGAATCAAGCAAGACGCACACCCAAGAAAGGGTCGGTCTAAAAACAACCAAGGCAAAAAGCCATCAGACTATCAGAGGGTGTTGCAAGCTGCAAGCCGTGGCTAAAGAAATCAAAAAGTGATTAATTCATAAGGATATACTTCCTCCGCTCCATAAAAGTTGGAACATTGGAATTTCTGCACTATTCACACACCTTACTTTGACAATGATTTTCTAATAATATATATAATAAAAATATTATGTACTACTTCCGTAACACAAAGATCTTCCCATTTTGACTTTTCAAGGTCTTTTAAGTTGAACTCTGACTCTAAAGTCTAAATATCTACATATTTATATTTATAAAATTCATAATAAATTAACATTCAAATAATATGTTTCACAATGAGGTATATGAAATAAATTTTTTAATCATAACATAATGTGAATTTTGAATAATTAATGGTCAAAGTTTATAAAATTTGACCCAAAAGAATCAAACTGGGAAGATTCTAGGGTTACAGAGGCAGTATAAAATATTAATAATTTTGTATTAATGTAAATTTCCAATATATTAACTTTTTTTAATGTTTACTAATACGTAAATAAATATAATTACAGTCAAAGTTGCGTGTTGGCAAACGTAAAAGCCATCGGGTCCGGTCTGGGTTCGGGCCTCGCGTCATTTTTTTTCCTTTTCCTAATTAACCCGCCTCCCACCCCCAACACCCCAAACCACCCCAAATTGCCCAAAATACTCAGCCCAACCCAAAAAGTTAAAAAAATTGAAAAAAAAAGATTAAAAAGCCCGGAACCGGGCCCGAACCGGATAGGCCGGTTCGGCTTTTGGGTGACCCAAGCGCGCACCGGGAACCCCTCGCGTCGGGCCTACCCGTACCGATCACTGGCCGGGCCTACCCGGACCGGTCATTGGCCGGGCCACTGGGCCGAGCTGGTTCAGTACGCAGCCGTAGAGGTAGAGATTATCCAACGGGTCGGGGCTCCAACCACCATAACTCGCAAGATGGCGGAACGATTGGGCCCCAGACCGAGGGACTTCCCCTCAGCCAAGAAGAAGACGAACAACAGGTTCACCCCAAGGGTGCCACAACGGGTTCGCCCCAAGGGTGCCTTACAACACGTCCTATGATGTCCAGCTGGAGGGTTGAACCCAGTACACCCATCCGGCGCTCCCCAAAGCCTAGATTTACAAAAATGTAAAGGGCAATGGGATACTTGCTGCCCCCACGAATAAGACGGTAAAGATGGGCACCCACATGGACGCTTATTGCTAGTACCATCGCCAGAGGGGCCACACCACGAACAACTACAACAGCCTTAAGAGGGCCATCATGGATCTCATTCAGAGGGGGCACTTCAGAGAATATGTTAGGGGGGCACCACATGCGTGCCCCTACAGGAAGCCCGACACCTGGAAGCGTAGGGACGAACAACAGGAGGCGGAGCTTAAAGACATGGCCTACCGCAGTGCGGACAAATGCCCGAAGCATTCCTTCGGTCCTCGAGGTGACAAAAAGATGGAGATCAAGGTGATCTTTGGCGGGGTGGAAACCTGTGACACTCCGGCCGGCCGAAAGAAGTTTGAACGAGCCCTATATGTGGGCTCCATATCGCCCCCTCTACCCAAAAAGAGCAAAATAGAAGCCATCACCTTCGGGCCGGCCGACCTACCAAAGTCCCCAAGACTGCACAGACACGAGTTGATCATCAGCATGGACATCAAGAACACCATCGTGCGGCAGATCCTGCTCGACATGGGAAGCAACGTCAATGTCCTGTACTGGGACGTGATCTAAAGGATGCATCTGAGCAGAGGTGAGCTGACTCCCCTGCGGACCCCCCTAGCAGGATTCACAGGAGACTGCATAGATGCTGAGGGGACCATCACCTTGCCAACGGAGATAGGAGATGGCTTGCAGTAAATGGGGACCCTCGTGACCTTCGCGATCGTTAGCTTGAAGTGCGCCTACAATGCTATCCTCGACCGACCAGGGCTGGATGATCTTGAGGCCATCTTCTCCGTGCGACACTCCTGCATGAAATTCCCCACGGAGACCGGGGTAGGAGTTGCCCACACTGACCCACATACGGCTAGGACCGGCTACAGGGAGGCCATGGAGAAAGTGAATGACTGCGACATGCTGGTAAATAGTATCGTAGAAACCGTTCGGCGGGCAGACATTGTCGCTCATCCGAAGCCGGCCACACTGCTAGATCTTGAAGCAAAGATCCAAGAGTGGGTGACCTCGTCTTCCTAAATTATAAAGTTCTGTTCGCTCGGGCCAGGAAGATATGCCTGGGATAGACCCCAAAATAATTTGCCACGGGTTGGCTGTTCCGCCTAATGTAAAACATGTACAGCAAAAGAAGAGGTACATGGCTTCCGAACGACGGGATTTCATCAAAGTGGAGGTCACCATGCTGCTCGACAATCACCACATCCATCCGGTTATCCACGTGGAATGGCTGTCCAACATGGTGCTGGCCCCCAAGGGCCCCACTTGGTGGATGTGCGTGGACTACTCAGATCTAAACAAGGCCTGCCCGATGGACCCCTATCCCGTTCCGAGGATTGACCTGCCGGTAGACAAAATGACATGTTTTGAGCTGCTCGTCAGATATTCATGCACCCAGATGATGCGAAGAAGACCGCGTTCGTCACATCGGACGACGTGTACTGCTACATCGTCATGTTGTTCGACTTAAGGAACACAATGGCAACATTTTAGAGGATGATCGGGATATTGTTCAAAGAGGTGCTTGACATAATCATGGAGGCCTACGTGGACGATATCTTGATCATGAGCAGGAAAGAGGAGGACCACATCTAGGATATGGAAATGGTGTTCGACATAATGCAGAATGCCAATATGTGACTGAACGCCAAGAAATGTGTCTTTTCCGTCAAGGGCGGAAAATTCTTCGGCTACATGATGAGTGAGAGAGGAGTTGAGCTGAACCCTGAGAAGGTAAAAGCCATAATGGACATGGAGGCCCCGAGGAATCTAAAAGAAGTGAAAAGGCTTACCAGGCGTCTCGCTGCTTCATGTCAAAGCTAGCCAACCGAGGGATCCCCTTCTTTCAAATCATGAAGAAAGCAAATCCGTTCGAGTCTGTATTTATTTAGAAGCAAAGCTTTTTGTAATTGCCACTCCTCTCTATTAGCCTATGTAGATGACAAAATATACTTATGTTCAGCCTTTGCAACCTCTTGTTCAATGAAATTGATGTCATCAAATATGTTGCCAAAACCTTCTTTGTTCCATCTTCTCAAATCTTTTTTAAGTTTCTGTAACTTGGTAACTAGACCATACATACCACCCCCAATGGAATTACTATTCCAGCTTTGTGAAACTGTACTGAGAAAGGAGTTATGTGAAATCCACATATTTTGAAACCTAAAAGGTTTATGCCCTGTTTGAATATTTTGTAGACATTGAATCAACATAGGACAGTGATCAGAAGGAGCCTGATTAAGATTGGTAACAGTAATCTTGTAAAAAAATCTAGAAAAGCCTCATTAAATAGGCATCTGACTAACCTCCTCCAAAGTCTCTCTCTTGATCTTACACCTGTCCAGGTATACTGACACCCAGAGTAAGGAATGTCAATGAGATTACATTGAGAAACATAGTCTTTTAACTCAAACATGCTTGTCAGATTAGGTATTGAGGCCCCTTTATGTTCAGTATTATACATAATAGTATTGAAGTCACCACACACCAGCCAAGGCCCATTTATATGACTGGCAAACTGACATAATTGCCCCCATAGCTCCCTCCTCTCTAAATGAGTGTGTTTGGCATAGATAGCAGTAATCCAACCAGTAGTAGACCCAAGAGTGAATTGAAAATGAACATATTGCGAACCCCGACTAGAATTTGAGATTATAATACTATTGGAGTCCCAAAACAGCCACACTTTATTTCTAGAATTAAAAAGAACATTTGTGAAACCCAAGACCATCTTGAAATACCCAGCTTTATTACAATCAACCATAGGCTCTATAGTAATAAGAAAATTAATCCTTCATTTAGAAACAAGATGAGATAGTCTTGGCTCGGAGGCACCAAACCTCTCACATTCCAAATTAGCTCATTCATTGAGGGAGTGTGGTATTAGTTTGAGCCTGCCTTTTGGCAGCAGTCCTTGTTACCATGCTAGTGTTTTGCTGAAACCGAACTTTTTTCCTCCTTCTTTTTCCAACTTTTATGAACCCATCCTCTGTTTCATTCTGCTCCTGGATAATATGTGGTGACTGAACAATTGTTGAGAGAAGCTCAGAATCTTCCTTTACTTTTCTGGAATCTGTCAGAATTTGTACTTTAGAAATCAAACCAGGTAAGGCTTCTTCCCATTCTTGTTTACTTTCATTATTGTGGGGAACATCTGTATCTGAACCATATTCCTTTGCTGCTAGTTCTCGGTCAAAGTTTGATGACTTTTCACAAGAATGAATGGAGAAATCATCATGAACTGTGGCACAGTCTGTTGATAAGAAAAGACCAGGTATCTATTCATGTATGATATGATGAAGATTATCATTTGCATAGGCCTTGGTATTAGTCTCCTTATTTACTGCAGGTGGATCCTCATGGAAGACCTCCTCAGTATCAGTTTCAGAATCTTCAGTCAAATCAACAACATGAGATTTTGAAGAAGAGTTCATGAGAAGAGGATCCTGTTTGCTGGAAAACAACAATTGCCTTCCCCTTATCTATGATAGTAGCTTCTTCATTTTTTGTATTTTTGTCCTTCCCCTTTACTGTGTTTACATTCCCACTCCCTACAGCCCCTATTGTAATAGCCTTTGTAAGCTGAGTATTTGTAGCAGCCTTTTGAACCCATTTGGGACCTGTATAGGCAGGCACATCAGCCTGTAACTTGTTCCCCCCATCCAAACGTTTTTTGGGACATTTACTGACTTCAT